TTATATATTTACTCGACGTCCATTTAGAGTTGTGACTTGTAAACGAGATACTCCATATTCCGGATCAATTGTATAGTCAATATTTTTTTTTAATCCTAATTCTCCACCAGCTTCTATAAATTTGTCAACGCGTGGAGAATGGTATCTAACTCGTTCGATGTGTAGATTTCCTTTTTGTGAATGAAATAATGAATTTTGATATTCTGGTATAGAATTATTTTCAGATTTCAAAAAATAAGGCAATACTTCATTGTAAGCCCAACCATCATTTCCTAATGCTGCAATTTGATCGTAATCTTCTTTTTTTCCTCTTGTATAAAACATTGCATTTGTTATTGATGATCCTCCCATGCCTTTTCCTTTTAGCCATGGACAACGATTGTTTTTAAAACCAAAACAACCATTTTTTGCTGGTTCAGCAAAATAACCCCAATTATAGTCTGTTGTTTTTAAAAATAGTACCGCCGCTGGTATATCTGTGTATACAGATTCATCTTGACCGGCTTCTAATAATAGTACTGACCAATTTTGATTTTCGGATAAACGATTTGCAACGACACAGCCCCCTGGGCCGGCTCCAATTACAATAAAATCATACTCTCGTAGTATAGGTCTATCACTTATAGAATTGTTTTCTCTGAAAGGAATTTCTTGTTGCTGTTGTTGTGCATAAGTTGACTGATACAATTGACTAAGAGTTAAAGATGAAGAAAAAATAAAAATTGTGAATATGATAATAATATTTTTCATGATGACGTTACAATATAAACGGTAATGGTCCTTGACTGTGATCAAATAATGATGGAACTTTGTGTCCGGTCCTTAAACAATGTTATTTATACACTTCTTCTCCTACTATGTATACTTTTTATTTAATGTTGAATTAATATATACAAGTTATTCTTGTTTTATATTACGTAATCGGAAAAGGTTAGGTTAGTGTTGTAGTGATCAATGTGTAGCACAATATAAGTACCACAATTTTCATTTAAACGACGCAGCATGTTCGTTTACAACCTTGAGACGTATGGTTGAGAAAGATACGTAAAAAATAAGTAAAACACTTAACTAATTACTTAAATAAAATACTTTATTGGCTGATGATTTTAAGACATTAAAAACTATGCTGACAGTCGTAAGCTTGTTGGGTCTTCGACTGATGCTGACTATCTTCTAAAAATGCTAGGCGCTCTATTCGTATTTACATAGGGGTCGCTTAATGACGTATGGTGGCGTGATATTCTGTTATTCTCTGATTGACGCCTATATGTATAATTATGCGAATAGGGGAAAACAACATGTTATTTTCACCTTTGTTACTGGTTTAGGCTTTGCACGTTCACCATATTTTTTATCATTAATGCCTACATTACATATCATAAATTATACTAAATATATAATTTATTATAATAGTTACTAGAATATGTAAAATATCTATACTCGGTTTTAGATTTACTACAGTGTTACTTGAAGTTACCAATGTATTTTAATATTCAAAAACCAGTAAGTTTGCTATTTGAATAAATTAACCAAAGTGTATATAAAAATGGTTTTATTTTTCCAATATTTATCAACTGCTAAAACAATAACCTTGCATTAAATTATCAAGGTTTTTGACGAAATAAAAAAAATATTTATCAATAAATTAAAAAAAAAGAGAAAATAATTTAGTCATTTTGTTGTATTTACAATAAATGTCGAGTATACCACGTCATTAAGTAAATCACTGTATAATGTATGTGTTAAATTTGAATTTAATAATAAATCATTGCATACACAAAGTGATTCTGATCAACGTAGGTTACGTAAAGCATACATTTTATACTATAATATTAAATTATTTTATGATTTATATTATACTTATGATGTGGTTTTTAATGATACTTTTAAAGTTATTTATTTTTATATTAGTATAGATTGATTGTTTTTTCTAAAAATATTGCACATATTATATTATACATATTTAATAAATAATCATTTTAATAGTATATATTCATATTTTATGTAATTTATCATTATTGTTAACTTTCAAACCAATTTCACCTTACCATAGGACGATGTGAAAAGGTTGTAAGTCGTGATATAAATATGCAATGAAACTTAAAATTAATCTATATGTTTTGAAAATGTGAATGTGATGTATATAAAATATTATATAGTTAGGTACTCGTAAAAAATAGGAAGTCCCCGCAAATAATATTCTTAAATCACGAACAAATAATAAAAATTATAATTTTTTTTAAACATCTTTTTTCAACCAAATTTAAGTTTAAAATATTTATAAAATAAAAATTGTGCTGAAATGTTTTTTTAGATTTTTTAGTTCCAGAATAAACACTTATAATGAACAATGAACCCTATATTATTTAATCACACTTTATGCTAATACAAACATTTATATTTTGAAATTTTCAAGTATTTGAAGTACCTACAGTTATACTTTTTTGAATTAAAATACAATAAGAAAGTCTATTATTTTAAGGAGATATCCAAAATATCATATTAAATCTTCACAACATATTGATATATTAAAACGGTAAGAACTAAAATATTTTTTTCATTAATTGTATATTGTACCTACTTAAATTAAAACTTAAAAGGAAGTAGAAATTGTGTTTAAGAAAAAACTGTAAACCATCTTGTTTGTTTTTTTTTTTTTAAAAAGCATTAAAGTTTGAAATCTGTACTTAAACCGGTTGGATGATAATTGTAATTAATTTATACTTGTCTTTACCAAATACAATCTACATCAACGCCATTACTAAATATTTATATAATAAAATACAAGAATAAATAGTATAAATAATCATTAAAAAACCTTTTTTTTTTAATATGTTGGTACATGCATTGATTATCTTCTTCGGACCGAAGGGAATATTTAAAAATCATGGCATATAAGTATATAACTAATGTGAGTATGTGACAATGAGTACAAGTGTATAACATAAAATATGCAATAAAATCGACGAACCACTTGAAAAATGTGACAATCTAGTATAACTAGTTTTTTTATAATTGATTGTACACATATTATGTACAATGAGAAAAATACTACTTGACGATAAAGATTGAGTTGTTACAACAATGATAAAGTATATTCTAAAAATAATTGAACGATAATTAAATTGTGTGCAAATTGGGACATCAGTTACCTAGTATGATTTTAAAAAAAGTTGGTGTTAACTATCAGGCATTTTGTACAATATAAGATGATTGTCCAGTGTCCTGTTTTGAGCACACTAAGTCTAAATCGATGGATAGGCAATGGTATAAGGAATTTTGGTAATTTAAATTTAAATTAAAATAGCTGCCGATAGGTAGCGTTATTTGAATGAATATAATGTTATTAATTATTATTATTATTTTGATAATAAATAAAACATATTCCTAGACCAGAGGTCTAATGAATGGATAGGCAGAGTTAATCTTACTAAATTGACTTATAATAGACACTAGTGCATCTGTCTCAGCTTTTAAATAAATAATTTTTATACTTAAAGGGACTGTTTATTTTTTTAACTATGCACTTACTTAGTTTCCAATTGGCATTTAAGACAAGGTGAACTTCATCGTTAAAACATATTGAGTCAGTTTAAATTGGATTTAAGTGTTTATCTTCAATTTCAGAGTTAAATGAATTTTTAATCGTTAAGCCTAGAGATATCACCACCGGAGAATTCCGGTAGAATATATATAATTCTAAATAATTGATAGACTTATATAGTAGGTAAATATAAAGACGAATTTGTGTCGTAGAGAATTAAAACTTTAAACAGATGTGGGTTATAGTTTCCGAAGAATTGAGTCTAATGAACAAAATGAAAATCAATCCTAATAACTGTATTAACCGATGGCGTATTTTGGAAAGAAACTATAAAAAGTATGTGGAAAACAAAAATAGCACATGATGAGGAAAAAATTATTTTGAGTTTAGTGAGGAAATAGACATGCTTTTTGTACATAAAGAAAACGTACACCCTGAAATTCTATACTCTTCTTTGAGGAGACTAATGATCCTACTATTTCTGGGCAAGATGTTTATTCATCTCAAGACGTCGAAAGTCCTTCAACTTCAAAAATAGACACATATGAAAACATTTTCCATCTTTTTGAAAAATTGATTTTGTGATCTTGTGTTAAAATAAATTTCTTAATATTTTGTGTTTAACTGTTCTACAGTGACCCACTTATTAATTATATTTACAAAAATAAATTTAGATATTGTTAAAACCAATAAAAAAAAAAAGTTAAATTTGATAATTTATAAATTAAAATGTCTACAATTATTAATATAATTTTAAAAACAATTGAAAGTTCAATTAGAACCTAAGCCAAAAAAGTACCTAAACTATACTAAAATACTATATAAACCTAGCCATTCGTTGGTATTTGACCAAATTGGCCATGCTTGTCTTTTTTTAAACAATTACTCTCCCTGTACAAATTTGCAATCTTTGTTGTAACATAATAGTTAATTCTGAAATGCTCAAAATATGTTTCATTATCGTAGGTTAGGTTCTTCTAAATAAAAAAATAAAATAAAAAGGAATTTAATCATTAAAAACAAATGCTCAGCAAGTTAATTAGCATATTCTCGCCTAAAAAATATTTGTTTTTCATTTTATGGATATTAATTTATTATAATCCGTCGTCAGATGAAGAAAGTCATCCGAATCATCAAAATCGTTAATTTTTAATGCATGCATCAACACACCACAGATAAAATTGTATTTTTAATATCAATTATTATTTAACTTGAATATTATAATTATATTTATTATTTTATATTATACAATATTTTTTCAAAAAACATAACGGCAAAAGTTTTGTAAAAACGCGGTTTAATCTCTTATCTATTATCTGTTTCACAATGATTGTAGCACAATCAGAAACGCGTTCCAACCATAGACCTTATACCCAATGTAAGGTCTTTGGTTAGAACAAACCTCATATCTATTTCATGATTCAGTGTTAAGAAAAATTTCAGCTGTTGGTATCATTTTAGGTTAGTTTATTCGGTCCAGAAAAACCGAAGGCTTTCAAGTTTCAATCGAATTTCTTATTTTCTTATCGACTTTTTTTTGAATATCAATTTATTATTAATTAGTAATAACCATTTTTCATAAATAATTATCTAGTTAAAATGTTGTTTAACACTCCCATTCGTATGCTTGGCCGACATCTACGACCTTTGTCGAAGAAGTAAGTGTGAACAAATGAATAATCTTTATAGGTATACAGCTGTAAAAATGTATTATTTCATTTAAAGAACATTAAGAATGTACTCTGCCGCTACACAGCCACTGACTGTACCAGAACCAGACGGAAGCTCTTTGACAAGTTCTCCCAAGTTAGAAAAACTATATACAGAAATCACTTCCTTAACGATGGTTGAAGTTTCAGAGTTTACTGAATTATTAAAAGTTCGCCTTAACCTAAAAGACATTCCCATGGGAGCAATGGTCAGCGCTCCAGCTGCAGCAGCACAAGTAAATACAATTTAAAAAAAAAAGACTAAACCAGCATTATAAATACAACTTCTATTATTCTTTTTAAGGAAGAAGAAGAAGACGAAGTAGCTGCAACAGTCAAAACAAGTTTCACCGTTAAACTTATGAAATTCGATGAAAAGCAAAAGGTTGCTTTAATAAAAGAAGTAAAAAACTTATTGGAAGGCATGAATTTAGTACAGGTTAGTAATATATTCAATTTCTGCATAATCCAGATATTTCATATAATATTGTAAATTTCAGGCTAAAAAGTTTGTTGAAAGTGCCCCTACAGTTATCAAATCAGATATTGGTAAAGATGAAGCAGAGAAATTAAAAGAAGCATTTACTAAAGTAGGAGCTGAATGTGTAATTGACTAAATTTTACATATTTGTTATATTATTATAATATATAATTATTTTTAATTTCACAAAATTTGATCGGTTTATGTAAGTAGTCAACGTTCATAATATATGAATAAAGTTTTATGTATGATATCATTAGATTTAAAACGTGTAATATTTATCCTATTTTTAATTCTGACAATAATGAAATTTTATAGTAAAATTGTCGATGTAAAATAGTAATTTTTTGATCAAAAATCATTAAATACTAGTTCATCGATCAAAACTCTTTCTAGTACTTATGGTATAATATGCTTAGTATTTGAATGATGTTAAATCAATAAGCAAGAATTATATTTTATAGTTAAATGACAATTTAAACATTGTTATTTGTTATTTATTAAAATCATAATTTTTGTTATAAAATTTGATTTTGATAATGATATCGATTATAAACATATTTAACAAACATGCAAAAATATTATTTACAAATTCCATGTAATTTATAATTTTAATTTTAATTCATTACTTTACATTATGACCTTTATAAGATTTATTCAGTCTGTAACAGAATACCAACTAGAAAAGAGCTTGATCCTTAAGGTAATTGTTTTTTTACTATTATTTATTTATTTTGATATCGAAAAGATTACGGAGTTTGCCTCACTGAGTAAAAATTCATGTGGAAGTTCAGGATTTATCTTTTTTACTATAAAATATATATTAACAGTATTTTATATTTTTATGATGTAATCAATGATGAAATAATTCTTATGATTACAAAAATTATTTTTTAAGCTTTTGACACAACCACAGTTAATATATAAGGTATAACATGTATATAACTTAAAATTATCAATTTTATGTTATATTCAGAGTAAGGCTTTACTTTGTCAATATTAAATAATAAAACTTTTTTAAGTGATTGCTGTCTAGGATACTATAGATGTATACACATACAATTATTTAATGGTATAACACGTTACAGCTATAACAAAATTAAGACAGTGGTTGAAAAGATAGGTAAACAATCATAAAGTTAAATACTTGTTACTTTAAAAAGTAACTATAACACTTCATAAGTTTCTAACTGGGAATATTATTTTTGGATCTGAAGCAATGTTATTGATGATTGACATTGATGAACATAAGTCTTTATTAGTAATAACTAATAACTAGTCTCGAGATGTGACTATCTTCTAAACAACTTATAGGTGTTCAACTCATATGTATACAAGTCTCAACAAGACATAGTACAGTATCGTGGTAATGTGTTGATCTATTTTATTTTGATATTAATTTAACTCTTGTTAATCGTCAATATCTACAAGACAATTTAGACTTTTTTAATTATAAGACCTCTTTCCAAATATTGTGTAGTTGTTTAGTACCCTTTTCTTATGGTATAAAAAACATAATATGGATGTTGGAAAAATACTTCACCATTAAAATATGTAAAATGCAAAAAAAAAATAATATAAAACATATGTGACATTAATATAATAAATGTAGGTATATAATTTTAATGAAATAAAATACAAAAAAATTAAATTAAAAATATTTCAATTGACTTTAGATATATGATATTTAAACTTAAATAACAAATATTCAAAGGTAGGTATTTAGAAAAAAAATTATAGATTTATATAATATAAGAATATATGATATTTGATATTTGTATGCAGTAAAATAAGCACTTAAGCACATAATTATATCATTATGATTAACAAAAATATTAAATAAATATATATTTACAAATAATTTAACTATCGTTCAATATTTAATAAAACTTAAAATCTGTTCATTGTTTATTAAATGTATTTGTTCAAAAATCTATACAAAACTAATAGGGAAAACCGAATGTAAATAGGTAATTACTAAAATACAATATAATATATTCACATCATAAACTTAATGAAACAACAGTAACATAATTAATTAGACATTTGATATTATAAATTGTGCCTTACTATTTATAAAATAAAACTTAATAATATGCCATGTTCAAACGTTATCTATTCCTGCTTAAAAATGTAATTCCTACCCGTTTTTTACTACGCTTTTGAGCCTCATTAAATATACTCAGTTTTTTATATTTTTTTTTTCATTTCAATCGAACTTATTCCTATGATTAAACATATTAATAATCATTGATAATATTTATAATTAACAAATTAATTAAGTTTTGGCTTATAGTGATGAAATGTTAATGTTTAGTGTCAGTAACAAACAATTGCAGTTACCTACTATCGTCCGGTTTACATTTAGAATATATTTAAAATTAAAATAATATATATTGTAATATAATATAAACTTATAAATAGCTCAGTTTTTAATATGTATTGTGAATGTATAAGCCAACAATACTATATATAAGAATGGATATTTAAGTTTAAAGTGCAGGTACGCAAACCCATAAAGACAGACCAAAAAGTCAAAAAACCTAAAGGTGTAAAAGAAACATTTGAAAACACGTTAAATTAATTGGTAAAAACTAATATGAATTTTGTGATACTTTTCGCACCTAACTAAAATTAGTTTTTTATATCCCAAGGAACCCATATTTTGATACTTAATGAATGAAAACATTTTTTAATCTTGTATTGGCTTAGCAATTAGTTTTAATGTATACATAATATTTATTTACGATTCTATCCAAAATTTTATATTACCATTATTATAACCTACATTCGAATACATGAAACATTTAGGTACTATATAGTATATTAATAATAATTATGATATTATATAATATCTTATGTCTGAGACAATTATGTGTAGCAGGCGGTTTTTTTTGTCCTCTCGAATATTATTGCTGTTGAACCGTTGTAGCAGTTCTCGACTTTTTCCAATCGTTAAATATCAGATACACTCCAGTTCCATACACAGCCGCGTTGACAATCCCGAACACCTAATTAATAAAAAAAAAGTGAAAAAGAAATTACTAGTAATATTAGTAAATATATCTACAAATAACAGGTACTATGAACATTAAATTTTTATATGCGAGGATGTCATTAAAAAATAAATTTTTCGTAAACAATTTATACATTTTATTATTTTTAATTTTTAAATAACAACATATACCATTTATATATGCATTTTTAACTTCATATTCCGAAGCAGAACATTTTTATAAAAATTTTGATACATAAAAAACGAATTTCAAACGAGTAAGTATATACTATATAGGTAGTAATAGTTAATTATGTTTAAATTCAATAGGTATTAAAAGTTAAGATAAGCCGAATGTAGTGATAATATAGCTTCACAGTGGTATCTTGAAATGTACAAAATGTTGGTGTAATACTCCGCCATATAAACTTATTCAATGTTAACACAATTATTACTAAAAATATTGATCAAGATTATCTTCTTTATTTAAAAAAATAAATAAATATTTTTTCAAAAACCTTAATAATTTTTGACATACGAATATTCTGTCAAAATAATTACCCAATATTATAATAGCACACTTACCCCTGCCGCTATGTTTGGATTTTTGTAATAAGATTGGTACGGTCTGGACCAGGCTGAAAGTTGTACGATGAATGCGACCGTGTACAAGACAGTTAACAGGAGCGTGTTGAAGAATTCCTGGAAAAAAATTATGTTTCGATAATAATTTATAATTCATTCATGGCATTGAAATCACGATGACCACTTTTTATTAGTTACCAGCTAGGTACAATTTTAACGCTTAAACTAAGTTCTTATGTTTTGGGTCGATTTATAAAGATTATACCTATCTACATTATGGTTTGGGTATACAACGTAATAATATATAAACGTGTACCAATATTATGACATAATAAGAATATAAGATGCATTTTTGGACGAAATTGGATTGTGTTGGAGTGAGACCGTTTTCGATCAAAAACGACGTACCTACCCTTCCCTTTTCGGTCGATTCACTTTTCGACCAAATTTAAAAAAAAACACAAATTCCTTTTTCGACCAAAATCGTACTCTTCCCTTTTGGCCAAAACAAAATTGTATGTAATGTATGTAAAAAAATAAAATAATTAGTAGGTATATAATTTTTTGTAAAATTAGGGTAATTGTATAATTATATCATTTTGAAAATAATTAATATAAAATGTAGAAAATTATTTAAAATATTAGAATATCTATATATTAACATTATTTTTACGTTAATGTCACAAACCTACTTATGTGGTTTAAATTTTATTTTTTATATTATACGTATTTTAGATAATACATACTGTGACATATTAACATAAAAATAATGTTAATGTATAAATATTTTTTATATTTTAAACAATTTTCTACATTTTATGCATTTTATACTTTTAATTATTTTCAAAATTATATAATTATTTAATTTTACAAAAATTATATACTAATTTTTTTTTATTTTTTTACATATATCATATAAAATTTTGTTTTGGTCAAAAAGGGAATCGACCTATTTTAAATTTGATCGAAAAGTAAATCGGCCAAAAAGAGAAGGGTACCATAGATACTCTAAAATATTATTAAGCATAGGAAATAATGATTAGGGTACAATTTACCATCGACTTTTTTTTAACCTGCTAATATTACCAGGCTAAGCTTACATTTGTAGCTCAATTTAAAATTCAATGGGCCTTTAAATAACTTTCAAACACAATGTCTGAAAATTCAATTAAAATTAAATAAATTTATTAAATTTATTAAATTCTTTGGCCATTTATAAAATATTATTAATTTGATTAATACATATAATAGTAATAATAATATAATACCGTAAGCACCCAATTTATTGGGAAATTAATAGCCTCCCGGATGGAGAGTAAATAGACAAACGACCAGATGGCCGTCGCTATGAAACTAATGATGACCACGAACAGAAACCAATTGGTGCCTGGTAACCTGGCCGGTGAAGCTAGTGCCAAACATATTATGCCAAGTATCTGAAATAATAAAAAAATATTTACAATAAAATCATTTTGTTTTTAATCGGCACTTGCTCTGTATGCAAATATAAATACATAATATATTATAGTATGTTTAATACAATTTATTATAATTGAATAGGTATTTAAATTATTGATGAGCGGAGTTAAAAGTACCAGCACTCAAGGGAACCGAACAAAATGTAGGTTCGTTACTAACCACTCTTCTAATCTTTGGATACGTCTTATAAGTTATAATTTATAACCAATTATTTTCTTAGTTGAAATTAAATTTTTATGCATCAAAATACTTAAAAAATATTCTGATTTTGATATTAAAAATGTATACCTATTATCATTTATAAAAGCAAAACTTAAAAACGATAATGATAAAATAAAAAATTTTTTTATAAAAAGAAATGTTTTGTAATAAATTTAAAAATATTTTTAAAAATGCTAACAGATTTTGAAATAATGAACAAGTCTTTTATGAATCAAACAATATTATATAAATACCTAAACATAACAAACCCGATCGCCCAATGCAGCAATTGTACGCACTAATAACGATATTAAATTATATTTCGACAAATATTACAATACATTATACTTAGTTCAATTTACAATATTAACGATTTAATTTATTCCGATTTCCGATATGCTTGTGATGGAAGTGTGTATGACTGTATTATATACAGAGTGAATCAAAAATCATGTTCACCCTCTAATTTTCTCTTAACTATATATAGTTATTCAAATTTTATATTTAAAATTTTTAAATATTCAAATATTCTTAAGGACTATAGTTTCAAATTTTTGAAATATTTTGTACTAATTTAAGGACTAAGAAATATCTTGTGGGGAATAGGGATATACATATAAACTTCTATTTTTTAAATAAAAATCCTCATTTTAGACTATATATTAGTATTTAGCAGATAATTTTTCTAAATATGTTGACGTATTAAAATCAAAATTTGAACGAATAGTTTTTGAGTTATTATTAACTTTGTATAATAAATACATAATAGATTTTAGATATAATATAACAACTATTTTATATTTTTGTAAAACTATTTTTAAGTATAATTAACCTTACTTCTTAATAAAAACATTTCAATAATTGAGAAACTATTCGTTCAAATTTTGAATTGGATATATCAATATTTTCAAATAAATATCCAATAAATAATTTTCAGTAAAAAGAAGAGGAGGACCTTATTTGAAAAACAAAAGTTTGTATCACCACCACGGAACACTTTTTAATAGTTCCTACAAAAAAATCTTAATAATTTAAAAATATTGTTTTTAACTCTTTAATTATATTTAAATATTTCAAGAATCAAAATTTAATGGGGAGCATGCTTGGTGAATCACTCCGTACATGTATATTAGACACGTGTAAAAAAAAACTAAAAACACAAACGAAGGTCACCCATATACCTACATAATATCATATAGATAGATCATAGTTATAACCATCGTTTGCGATGACTGTAAATACATATAATATTTAGATTTCTATCTGTATGGCTATATATGTATAGCTCTCCACATGTTGTATGTAATAATATATTATAATAATATTATATAGGACCATTAATGCCGCACGCGCGGGAGCCTGCACCATATCTATATGCGACGATGCCCACGCCAAGTCTTGGCCATGAAAACCGACGAATTCATTCGCCGACGACGTTTGCAGCTATACCGTTTGTACCCTATAACCTATATAATGCTTATATATATATAATGTATACATTTATAACCACGACAGTCTTACGTACAACCACACGCGATATAATAATAATGTGGTTTCTAATGATTTTTTCACCGAAAACACTGTAGAACATATTAATTGTATACTATATATTGTACACTATGCGTAAATAATACTGACCAAGGTAGCCTATTGTATAATAATCATTAAGCAGTAAGTACAATATAATGCGTTTAACGTTTGACGTTATTATTTTTATAATTTTATTTTAGCTGCGCGTTAAAGTTCATCTGGCGCAACGCTGCGTATTCATATACATTTTTTTATGTAATTTAACGACAAAAGCGCGTGGCACTCACAGTTTTAAAGTTTTTTTTTAAACGAGTCTAATATAATATATTTCAGACGGTTTGCAGATGAAATTATTGAACAGATGTTAATGATAAATAGATGTTAATCAATACAGTCAATACATATTTTAGTGAACAATAACAATATACAACGCACGACACACACACGCCACGAACTGCAGAGACCGTATATTTGTCGATATCATAAATAGTGCCTCAAAGCGTCTATTATAGGCCTTAGTACCTTACTGTTTATGTGTCTATAGATATTTTATAGTCCTACATGGGTATCACCATAGTCCTACATAGTTTAAACTATTGTTGTCAAATAAGTTTTGAAAGTTAAATCTATAACTGCAGCATACAATTCAAAAAATAAACTGTTCACATAATATTATCTTGTTCGTTTTTAATTTTATTTTATTATGAAGTAAAATTCATATATTATAAATCTACATTCAATACTATAATTTATTACAATAGCTACAATAAATCATTAAGTATGGGGAAAATATGCGTTAAGTGTCTTTACTTCTAAACTTGACACTAAATAAAATTTGCAGTTTCTATAAAACTCAAAATGTTTATTTTGACTATACATATTTTGGCTCGTAAAGAGATTTAATTTTGTATGATACGGCTGTTGAATAAAAAAGTTTTTAGACCCCTGGATATGTTGGGTTAAGCTAATTTACACTATATCCTTGTGTGTGCGGTAAGAGAAGACGAACAAAATATAAAAACAGGAATGAAATTGGATAGGAATTTTTACACTAACACTGTTGGACAATGTTACAATCTTTTAGTTAAAATTTAACAATTAACATTTAACATTGACTAATAACATGTTTTAGCGTGTTCGTATACTTTGTATAGAAATTGAAAAACGTTAAGCATGTCTTTACATTGTGAGCGTACACAAGTACACGAAAAATTAGAATGATTTTACAAATCTTACAAATTGTGTAAATTTCTTATGTTACTCTATGAGTATGCTTATTTGAAAATAGCTTTCATATGTCTGCAGTATGGTTCCGTCTATCTATTTAATTAAGCTGATAGTGGGTAGATTGGAATCATGACTGTAGCGGAAATAATAGAACGAATCAGATCTAAATTTTTTGTGGATTATACTGTGTCAATTTATTTAATATTTTTGATTTTTATTAATGTCATAGATTTAAAATTTCACTATTCTATAGCCACAAGTTACCTTAATTCTAACTGGCCAGACACTTGATGACTTAGTATTCATTCGAAAACTTTGTGGAAACATCACTGCGAAAACTTTATAGCCATATAGGTATAGGTACTCGTAATACTACTATAGTTGCGCAATCAGTAACAACTTAATGGGGAGGAGTCCAAGTATATGAAGTATTCTTTTATAGCATAACTTAATATAAAGTTTTAAATTAAATATTTAGGTATCTAATGAACACTTCACAACGTAATAAAAAAAACACCATTGCTATCAACATAAAACTATCACATGAAAAATAAGTATATTATTGAAACAATTATTAAAATATAAAATAACAGAAAAAAAAGAAAATTCTTTATTTTTCTATAAAATTTTATATTATTTCCTAAAATAATAACAAAACTCTTTTCAACATTTTTTTTTTTACATTTTTAAGGTACGAAGGTCCTAGAATGATTCTCTCCGAACTCTGGATCCAACCACTTGGCTTCGGTACTGATCGATACTACTTACTCATATATTTTTAATGTTGTATAAACTCTTCTAATATCATATATTTATGAAGGTAAATAAACCATTACCATATGTAGCGGTGTTACTAAAGGAAACACTATAGTTATGACGTTTATGTGTCGCAGTATATTATTATAATTTATTATCGACCGATCGATTTCATATTATTATTCCCGTCACTGTGCAGTCGCTATTTTGTATTTTCTTTCCGCAGTCAGTTGCATAGCGGTATTCTTCGCGCTGCGATCCAGAAAACGATTAAAGTACCGTTCGCGCGAGGCACACTTCGTAATGCACTAGTGTTACACCATATGTATAATGTATAGGTATACACTATACATATTATTATATTATTATAGGAGACGATAATACCTATGTCGGCATATAATATAGATACTTTTTTATATATATTATGTATACGAATACTATCCCGTGGACTGACTAAAAGAGCGATTTTCAAAAAAAAAAAAATTTCCAAACAATGGCTATTGCTGTACACGAATCACACATCAACGATATGCCTATTTATTGTATTATTATTATTGTTATTACTATTACTATTATATTTATGATATAATAATGTTTACTCTGCACGACGATGGCTTCCCGTACGTGCAGATATTTTCCCATTGAAAAAACCGATTTTCTTACATTATTTTTAATTTTACATTATTATGTAGGTAGTAGGTATTAAAATATTATACCGTACGAATTTCTTCTGAAGCCTGGCGAAGACTTAATCAAACGCCAGGTTTCGACGTTGTCATTATTATTATTATTATTTTATCATGTTATGGTGTTGATTTGGATAAATAAATATAACGTAGGTATAGAAGGTACTACGCGCAGTTTTAGGTATATCATAATATTACGTAGCGTCAAATTAATTATTCTGCACAGCACATGTCTTATGAATTTTACCGTATTTTCATATTTAATAATATGAGTGCGTATACGTATATATCCGCAATATGTGTGCATATAATTGGTACAACCAATAGATATATAACATACTTCGTATTTTTACAGCATACTCTATAAATTAATTCTATATGAATAGCAATTAGCGGTGATCTCTTCGGCCTTTGCTCACACAATCAATAACTAGATGTCATATATATGATTTTATAGACATCATACATAATGGATCATTCATAGTAGTCATAGTACTTATAATAATTGCAATAATTATATTAAACATTATAAAAATAAACTTATATAATTTAACGAT